CTAAGAATTGATAAGCAATTAAAATAATCCAAGCATGATTATCCTGACTGTCTTCTTTGCAAGGACTACACTAGTTTACCAGCACCAAGAGAAACACAAACTCCAGTGAATTTTACCTTTGTCTTTCACAGCATAAAATTTTTCTTTCCCCAATTTTCCTCTGAATTTCTGGGAATGTTGAAATATTGCTCATTAACTAAACTGGAAGTTTCTCAGCATTAGAGCATCATTTTTCTGTCATCTGCTGGTCTCACCCTTTCATACATTTCAGCTATCTTTCAGGCAGCATCACAAGTATTTAAAGATGGAACAAAATTCTAGCAATTAAAAAAATATCATATTTCTGCAAAGAGAGGGACAGGGAAAACAAGGGTATGCTCACGGATGATCATTTCTGTGTCCATTGAGCCTGTTCTTACTGTGTATAATGAGTAATCAAACCTTATCAGTGAACAACACTAATCAGCCTTCAAACCAGCACTTTGGTTCAGAATAATTTTTTATTGAAAATGTCCCACATGGAGGGGAGTGGGAGAAGGAGAAAAAAAGAAAAAAAATCTGCAATCTTCCACAAAAGGAACATAAAAAAGAAAGATTAACTGTATCTTACTTTTTTTTTTTTGAGTGATCTTCATCATTCTGTGAGATATATTGGCTTTGGTCAACTTCCTTCTTTTCCTTGAATTGATTCATCAGTTCACAGTATCTCAAAAATATGTGGCTACTATTATAAGACCAAGACTGCTTAAGAGAAATCCAATTTCTACCAACAGGTTGTGCTAAAAGCTAATATACGTAGAAGTTTTCTAGCTGATTAAAACAGCTTCAAGAAGAAAAAGTGGTATTTCAACATTTTTGTATGAAATCTGGCCTTCAAACTTGTTTTAACAAGCAAATGTATCATTTCAGTAATGATCTGTTTACACTGACCACACTTTGACAGAGCTAAGGAGGTCTGAGTTTTTAGGGAAGGTTCTGTTTACTAAGAGATGATCGGTTTTAATGGACTTGCTCTTTGAACGTGAAAAGCAGTTTTGGGCATCAGGCAACACCTCATGGGCTGCTTCTTCATCTGCAGTAAAATAGCATCACTTCATTGACATCTGCGTTTTTTAAGTCTAAGATTCATTTTAACAAATTAACTATCTACGTCTTTCCTTGAATTCATTAACAGAACCAGTCTTTAAAATGAAGTGTTATATGGATGTGTGGAGATGCTTAAAGACATAAGTGAGATAAGACATCCAAGATCTACTAGAAAATGTATGTACTGTTGCATTTTTGAAAGCAGTTTCTTTTCCCTTTAGGACATCCTCTTGAATGTCACAGTTGAAAAGTTAAGAGTGATACTCTATCCTGAAATTACTAGCTGAGCCTCATTGCTTTTTCCTGGCAAAATATAAAATTCAAAGAAAAACATCTGTTTGAAAAAATTCTTTATCCATCCTTAGACTTCCTATTAAATTATTACTGAGTATAAGGAGGATAAATAATCACGATGTTTGTATGACATCATTTTTCCCCCATGACACTTAAGAGTCAGATATTTCCTTGAAACACCTTAACTATCTTATACTAGTCTTAGTTCTATGATAGTGTGCAATGCAGTTAAGTGTAGAAGATATTTAGCACTAAGGAAAGTGAAGAACATTTGACGCACACAGATTTCATTGGGGGTTTTCAAAAATATTTTAAAAAGAAAAATAAAAAAAGAAAACCAAAACCACTGCTATTCATTTTGGTGCAAGAGAAATGTGTAGAGTGAGTGAAATCTCCAGGAACAGAGGTCTGAATAGCGTTCCTTGTTTTTTAACACCTAATTGTTCTTTTGCAATCTGTAGGGGTTGCGCAGTGGCAGCTGTAGAGAATTTAAATGTTAAGGAGAGAGAGGTGAATCTGAAATAGCCCTCCACTCCCTAATTAATTTTTAACCTGTACACTGCAGAAGTCTGAGGTTTCAGGGGAGAACTTTATCTCCAAACTTCAGTAACTCTGTAGTAATGCTCTTCTGCTCTACTCCTGAAAGCAGAGACAAAAGCACTGAACCAGAACACCTGGTGTATTTTCCACATGAAAGATTTCTAAATTAAAACAAACAGGGAACACACACATTAATTATCCACACTAGCTGATTGGAATTTAAGCCCACAAGCAGATCAAATGACCACATACCATACTTTTTCAATATTGAAGTTTTGGAACCTCCAAAACAGAAGGGAGGGGAGACTGTTTGCAGCAAGTACAGCTGATTCCCAGGCTGCCTGCACGTGTCTGCCCCATGTTGCCTTTCTCCAGGACCCCTGAGGCAGCACAGCCTGTCCCTGCTGCCCAATCCCCTACCCAGCCCTACAACAACCGGGCCAGGCAGCTCCACCCCGGCCTTCACCTCTCACTGCCTCCCAGAGACAGGTACCTACACAAGACCAAAGGCAAGTCAATTGTCTGGAATTACATAGAAAGTGAAGTGCTTTGCAAGGTTTAAATACAGGTTTCCAAAGTCACCATGCATGTACCTCTGACCCGTAATTGGGTTTGCCTGTTAGTCATTCCAGTCTGAAACTGCTGAACAAACAATGGGAATTTAATCATCTGGAAGCAGATTCTGTGAGCAAAGACATTTTGCTCACAGAGTACTGTTTTTAATGTACTTTCTCAGGTCTTAAAAGTATCTCGGTCAATTTTCTTCTGTTGTTCAATGAAGTGTGGTAAGCTTCTCAATTTGACATGAAAACTTCCAAGACACATTTCTGCTGCAGCCAGACTAATTTGGCTGTCAATGTTCCATGATTAAGTTAGACATTAGGAAGAAGTTCTTTGCAGGAAGAGTGATTGGGCATCGGAATGGGCAGTCCAGGAAGGTGTTGGAGTCACCATCCCTGGAGGTGTTTAAGAAAAGACTGAATGTGCGCTCAGTGCCATGGTCTAATTGACAAGGTGGTTGAGTATTGGCTCAAACTTGATGATCTCTGAGGTCTTTTCTAACCTAGTTGATTCTGTGATTCTATGATGATAGAAATAAACCGTTAGGACACATTCTTATACAACTTTTCAAGCCTAGTTGCTAGGATCTCATACTTTCCTCCCACTATAATAGGGATAATGATCTCCTTACTAAAACACAATCACAGGAAAAATGTTATTATAAACCTTCTTTCTGCAAATTAAGAACATTGATTTTTCATTACAATGCAGAGCACTGCACATAATGTGCAGAATAATAACTCTATTGAAACATAGATATGCATATGCAAATGGTAAATCGTGAACAAGAACACAGGTTCTTTTGAATGAAAATAATTCATTAGAGTTCAGTTCTTTCCCATTTTACTTGCTCTTAACTTGATAAATACCTTGGCTTTTCAATTTTTACCTTAAAACTTCTTTTTTTGGCCACTTAAATATCAGAACTTAATTTAGAAAAGTCTATGCATGTTAAAAAACATAAAGAAAGAGGGACAGAACGGGAGGTTAGGCTCACTCAATCAGTTGTGTGAGCATCATTCATTTCCCCAGGTAAATTAAGCAGGTCAAATATTCATTCCTTGTGTAAAAACAATTAGAAAGTGCTAGATTTGTCCAGAAAGGGGTATCTTGAATATTTCAATAACAAAGATGACTGCATTAGAGGGGCTGGTTCTAAAGTACCACATTCCACTATCTGAATTTCACAGCTCTGCTCCAAACAGCAGCACCACCGGAAGTATCTGAACACCATTGACTGTTCAGCATTGGTTTGGTACTGCAAGATGAATGTAGGAGCACTGCATTTATCAATCTGATATCAAAAATATTTGGGACTGTATTAACAACACGACTGTATAAACAATACGACTGTATTAACAATAAAATATGTGACAGTTCTGCAGAAAGCTGAATTTCTACAGCACTTCTACAGGAACTGAACTGCCAGATACAAGACAAAAAAAAAAGAACCTCATGATGTATACTGGTGTGCATAAAGTATTTTCTGTCTGATAGAAGCAAATCAGATTGTGTTTCTGAGAAAATTTGCCATGGAATGAAGGCACCCAAATTTTTCATTATTTTATATAAAGAACAAAGTTAATAAGATAATGTCTGGTGACCAGATCTGCTTCCATTGAAGATAATGAGAGCATTGCTCCAAACTCCAGCAACAGCAGAAACAGGAATAATAAAAGTTAGGCTCAATTTTACCATAAGCTTACCTTTGGCAAGCTAGTAACTTATGTAGCTGTGCCTTGACATCTCCATTGTCACAGGAAAACAGAGACAAAAACTGAATTCATAGGACTGTATCAAAGAAAATGTATCAGCATCAATAAAACGGGACATTTTTAGTCAAATGCCATTAAAGCATTTAGTCATATTTAATTTCCTTTGTGTCAATCCAGTTAGTTTATGTACTACTTCACTAGTTTCTAATTCATCAAATGTTTATTTCAGTCTGCTCACAAATTATCCAGGAAAACAAGTTACAGCACTATTTTTAAGTATGTCTGTTTGTCCCCTTTACTGAAAATGGAATGAGAGTGTTTCTTCCATGTAATGAATGTAGCAAGGCTTTTCATCAGTTTTATAACAAGTGAAACATTTGAAGTTTTCTGGCCTCTTGTTTGAAACACACTCTGAAAGTGCATATTATATTATTCAGACTCAATAAAGAAACCATCACTTTGGAAAAGCACACATAGAAAATATTACACACAGGTGATTAAACATGTGCTAACAATTCTCCTTAAATCTCAATATTTTTAAATGGCAAAATTCTTTACTGTACACAGACACAATAAAATCACTTTGGTGTGTGGGTAGATCATGCTTAAATTGGATTTCCACAGCACAGACAAAGGTTACAGACATTTAGCTGAGAACAATATTGATTATAGCTCTGTCATGGTAGAGATAGTTGTGATCATGTGTATAATGTGTTATAGTATTTATTTGTACAGTCATTGTAATATATTCCCTTTTCCCCACTTTGAGTCTGGCGTGTTTTGTCTAGAAAAACCCATCTCACATTAGGTTGAGATGTGGGAGGGGGGCTTAGACTAGGGGATTGGATTTTGGGGCTATCTCAAACCATGACAAGCTCTGGTATTGTTCAGCAGAAACCTAAACACTCTTCTCTGTAAAAGAGTATGAAAAATCAAGTTGTCAAACTACATACTTTAGAATCAATAACTGTTGGGGCAGAAGTTTCTGGCATAACTCAGTTTTATGACTAAATGTTGCTCAGTATAGAGTTACGCATTGTAAAGAGAAGAGCCAGAATTTTCTCATCCAGAATCAGCTGGTACAACACTATCTCTGCTCTCCACAGAAGTTGTGTTTGAGTTTCTTATTTGTCAATAATAAACTTTCTTTAGTTCAAACTAGCAGGATTTCTGAAATATTCCAGAAATGTATGTCTGGATGAGTTGAATTCAAACTGCAGTGGTAATCTGCGTCAGTCCTAGGTCGTTGGACTCCTCTCTCTCTTGAGGACAGTAAGATGACATTTCCACGACTAGTCATACGGGTTTGTTTGTCCCACATGCTTCCCTCATATAAGCTGGGTCCTGCACAGTGTTTCTAACTCTGCTGGTGCTCTGCCTGTCCATCTTCCTCTTAAGAGGGAAGCAGAAGTCCTTGAAACATCTCTTGAAGTTTTCATCCAAAAATGCGTAAAGGATTGGATTGAGGCTGCTGTTGGTGTAACCCAAAGCAATACAGAAGTAATAGCTGGATATAGCAGCAGTACTATGGGACACATCCCCTAGTGCTTCAACCAGTACGAAAATGTGAATAGGAGTCCAACAGATAATAAAAACTGCCACAACCACAAGAACCAACCTGGTGATGCGACGCAGGTTTCGATCTTTTTCTCGAGACCCCGAGAGGAGTCGTACGCTTTTAAGACGCAGAATCATCAGAGTATAGCAAACAATTATAATGAGAACTGGAATTACAAATGCAAAGACAAAGACACAGATTTTCATGAAGAGGTCCCACCACACGTAATCTTTGTCTGGAAATTGCAAGGAGCATTCTGTGCTAGCAGTATCTGGGATGAAGAAAGCAAGAAGAAAATTACATTATTATTAGATATTCTAAACAGTGTAATTGTCATAGCATAAGCTAGGAAGTTATTATCATGTAATGTGATATTAATAAATGCAGTTATCTTTAAATCACTCTAAGGAAAGCTTTCAGTTACCATTGAAACTGGTTTTATGCAGCCGTCTCTAGAAATTACTGAGAGAGTTTGGGGCTTTCTAAAATTCATAACATTGTATAAAATTTGTTTCCCATGGGAGGATCTAAAAAAGCAGATCACAAAAACAAAAATTTGTAAAGATGTTTTCATTTGAATCTCACTGAAATTTAAAGCCAGAATGAGTACTATGTTCAGTGGAGTAGAAATCTCACCATTATTATCAAACTACGTATGTTTTTTTCTGTAAGTGAAGACAGATTTTCGGTATCATGAACGGTGGAAGCTGAAGGAGGCTTTGGTTGTAGGAAGATTTTGCCAATATATGATAATTGTGTAATAATCTTTTCCCATGTACCTTCTTCAGCACAAATTGAATACATGTGTTTGCATTCAGAAAAACTTATTTCCTGGCAACAGCTTCTTTTCTGCCAAATAGGAGCAAATAAAATATGTGCACACATGAAGTCAAAAGGAAGCTACTCTTTTTACAGATCATGCCATGCAAAATGCAACCTGTGCAGAGGCTGCAAGATCTGGGCCACTGAGACCAGCCCACTCTCATTCTGATTGTCCATGCCAGAATTCAAAGTCACAGGCTGTCACTTGATTTTATGTTACAGAAATATTTCATCTGACAGGCCGCATCTAAGCAATGCAATATTTGAGGTTTCACTTGCTGATCTCATTGGAGCCTTCCAGCATATAAAACATAAGGAAAACCAAGCAATAAGATAAATGAAAAAGCAGGAGAAGGGGGAAATTTACAACTACTCTCAGTAGTTAAACTCTACTGAAGACAAGTCAAGGTAACACAGGGATTTTTCACTCTGAATTGTAGCTTAGATTTTACCCTCTAAAGCACTGCATTGTTTTTTAGATTTTTTATCATTTTCCCTATTGAATTTGTTATTCCTCTATAAATTATTACGTACTGACTTTTATTGAATAAAATCTAAGGGTGGAATGATTCAATATACTCTCGCACACCACTTTTTTCATATCTGTCTCAAACAGATAAGAGGACTCTCACTAGCAGGACTAGTCAGAAAAAAACCCATCAAGCCGTATTTCCCTGCTATAGAAATGTTTCACAAATCAAAACAATATTGCAGAGAATTTGTTTTGAAAAACAACTAGGAGAAGACATTATTATTGTAGTGTCATACAGACATTTCCCCAATTACATATCAGAAAGCTGTTATGGTGTGATATTAAGTACTAAAATACTCAAATAGAAATAGTTTACAGCTAAAAGCTAAATATTTCGAGGTTTTATTTTAAATAATATAACTAATGGTTGATTCTGAAAGATGAAAACTGAAAAGACATATTTTTCAAGCCTGATACAGGATGCTAAGATGACAACACAAGTATGACTTAACAGGGTCTTGACACTGAGTCAATTTGTTTAAATCCTTTGTGATCTAAGTTTTCATAAGCGTAGTTGCTTTTACTTAATTTTATTCTAGAAATGTCAGTAATCATCTCGAAAGAAGTTTTCACATTGATTATTACTGTTATTTTTAGTAGATCACAGCTTAGCTGCAGCAATAATATAAGGATGCAGCTATATTATCTAGTAAAGCTGCATCCAGATGTGCAGGTCCTGATAAAAGCAAGCGTGATCATGGATGACTGCTCTGTGCACCACATCCAACTACTCACTGAAACCCACTCCCAGGGGAAATGGCCTCTTAGAGATCTTCTGACATAATTTCATATATTTATCAAAATTATAAGGTCATGGATTCCATATAATTCATAGCATTACATATATCAAGTGCAATACACATTCTTGTCATTATTGTCACAATATCGTGATAGTTTTCTGGAACATTGGAATAGAATAAAATCAAATTTATATTTTATTTTTACTGCCTGAAAGTGCAAAACTACAGATAGTGTCACATAGTAAGTACTTAAGGTTTCATACTGACCTTTTCAACTCTGAAAGCCCAATATTTCAAATACATTGATCTATAAGGAAAAATACTGCATTCTAGATGGTATTTTAGTGTAAATATATGTTTTAATGTGTTTAGTAAGCTACCATTTAAGATTAATCTTAATCTCAACATAGGAAATATATGTATTGGATATATCATTGAGTGTGTCACTTTCAGGCATCCATACTCCTCTGTACTGAAACAGAGCTTCATACCCTTACTGGCAGTACTAAAAGTACCTTTAATTTTATATTTATTTTTTTTTTGTAGTTGAACAATTTGTCAGAAAGAAAAGCTCCATTAAGGACAGGGAAAGAAAATTTACACATGTGTAAAATTTATTCTGCAGGAAAAATGTATCTGAAAGGATACAACTGGGAGCAATTCCGTACTGTAATACAAAATGGACTAACTGAGCACGGTGAGGGAACTTTAATCACTTTTCATTTGATGTTCAGTTGTTGCTTAAATCTGAACCCAGAAGAGGCCCTGAAGCATATAAACACAACTGTTTTGGCCAACATAACATAAAGATTGAGTCCTAAGCTCCAGCTATCAGACAAAGGGAGGATCCCTTCAGCATTTATCAGAGCAATTCATGAACACACCAGACAAGGTAATTGACACTGAATGCTCAAGAGACCTTAGATCAGACGAGCAGGGACGAACAGTAGTGGCTGACAAGCATTTGCCAATATTTCCAACCTCATTTAGCCCAGCTAAGCTCTGTATTACCAGTCTCTGTTTCATAAGTAAAAAAAAGGGCTGTCTACCATGTGGCATGGAAAAGGCATTTAATCATTGCAGGCCTCAGAGCACACCCTTGATCTAAATGTGATGTTGACAGTGAATGACAGGAACATTCTATTAGTTAGGTGTGCTCCAACAAAACACCTGTCTGAGTCAGTGTCCCATGGCCTTCGAGATCTCGTGTGTAGCAAGACGATCATTCTTCCCAAATATGTCTGGAAGTTAATGTTTCCTGAGCTAGACACTGTTTTATAGAGCCTGTCAAAACTTTACTAGGGAGAAGAATTACATTACTGCAGACGAGGAGACTTGATCCCTCAAAGGACTGAAAGAACAGTTTCCTGAGGACTCTCCTGTCACTTACATACCAGAAGACCAACAACAAGAATAAAATCTGTATATCTTCAGCCAAATCTATCAGCCCTCGAGTAGCTGTTACCGAAATGCCTTTTTGCTTTGATCTATGTCAAACAGCTTAACGTTATTGTCTCTGCCAGATAAAACAGTGTCCTTACACAAACTTTACCATTTGGCTTGATAGGAGTGAAACATTTCTAAATAGCAAATGTTGTTAATTCGGGAAATTATTAATAATTTTTCAAAAGATTGTTTACATCTCAAACAAGCTAAATAAATATGCATGCCTTGTGTTTTATCAAGCCATCCATCAACAGGATGATCCCAACCCAAGGACATCATTAAGAGTCTCTAGCCTTTTGCAAACACTGCACTGCGGTCATACCGGTGGGAATGAAGTATACGTGTGTGAAAATGCTTCTACCCTTTCCTTCTCAAGGAGGATTTCAAAATCAAATTAACCCCATAGCAAGTCAGCTTTGTAATGAGTCATTAGCTATAGGGGCTAAATCCACAGTCCTTCATGGATTAAAAATTTCAAGCAAAGACTACACATGGTCTGCATACATATCTCATTAACTCCCTGTTCTTGTAGCTGCTTCCCTACCATGGTCTGAATTTCCAGTTCCTCTACTGATCCTAATTCTCAGCTTTTCCACATCCCCAGATATACCCCCATCCTTCCTTAAACAAGAATTTGAGATATTGTCATACATAATTTAGTTTGATTTTCTCTCTCCAGCTACTGACTTTTCCTTTCTTCACCGTGCCTTCAAATTCTGTGAAATGGCTGGTGATAATAAGCTCCCAAAAATTCTTGTTTCTGCTCTTAGAAATTCATCAGAACTGCTCTCACACCTACAAAAAAAGTACCTTAAGCCCACATTTCAGGTTTCAACTTAACTGATTTTAGATTTGTCAACTGTGAATAAATTCCTGATTATTTTCCCCTGCTGTCTACTAGTAGTTCTTGATGGTCTCATTCTAGAACAGATATTTTGTTCTTTAGTTGGCCAGGGCATCTGAGTTTAAATTATTTATATGTCATAGTGTAAAGTTCCACAATATATTTCAAAATGTCAGGAAATTATATATACTTTTTGAAGAAGGAATCAGCCAGGTTTAATCAGTATTTGAACATATATTTTATGTCAGCTGAGAAATAAAAGACTGAATTCCGAATGCTCACACTCACCTTCTCTGATTTTGGTACCTCCAAGAACTATTGCAGATATACCAACAGATGAGGACAAGAGCCAGATACAGATGTTGATTATCTTTGCTTTGAGAGGTGTACGGAAGTCCAGAGCCTTCACGGGGTGACACACGGCAATGTATCGATCAACACTCATCATGGTCAGCGTGAATATGCTGGTAAACATGTTATAATAGTCAATGGAGATTACTATTTTACACAGCACATCACCAAAGGGCCAAGAGTTCATCAGATACTCGGTGCTTTGGAAAGGCATAGTTGTGGTAACTAGAGCATCTGCCATAGCCAGGTTGAAAATGTAGATGTTGGTTGCTGTCTTCATCTTTGTGTACCTGCCAAAAAAATAAGGCTTTATTATTTTAAAATATGATTATGCTCATTCAGATATGTATCAGTCAGGCTTTGCTAGAGTTGGTTTTTTTTGTAATGTCTTGTCTCATCTATGACAGAAGTGCACACAAATGCAAGACCTTTGGAATAATAGTGAACAAATTTTGCTTAGTCTCTCAGCACCTGCATTAGCAGTTAGAGCTATTCACCACAGGCAAAACCAGGTACATGAATGTATTTAATCTAATTAGCCAAATCCTGCTTTCAATTCTATTTTTTCAAATCCTTCTGCAAGAAAATATCATTGTTACACTTGCAAGTGACCAAAATGTTCTGTATTTCCTTTTCTTGTAGCTAACTATCAGTGATTGCGAGCTTTCTGGGTTTGCTTTGTGGAAGGAACAGTTATCCCACTCTTCAGTAAGAATCCGTGTTAATTGAGATGTCTGTTGGGCCAGATTGTTTCTTATATGATAGTTTCTCTTCCTTGAATTCACTACAATGCCAGTTGATACAAGTTTTAGTAATTTCCCTTCCTTGTTCCTTCCTTGCCAATTTTTCTCCTTTCTTATCATCAGCTTTTCCCAGTCCACTCTTTTATGACTGCTAATGTAAAAGATGACTATTTAAATATGATACCACAATGGGGAAAAAATTGTCATAGTAATATTTTTTTCCTGCATCCTTTAATTTCATCAAAATGAAGCACTTGTTTTGTCCAGATGGTAGAGAACCTCAGCCTACATGGAAGAATAAGATCTATTTTTTGAGGTGGCACCCTGCTTTGTTCTGCCTCTATGACTGTTTTGGGGGACAACCAGTGGAGGACTGCTTCCAGCTCTGAGATGGACACAAAGGATGAAGGAGAGCCTTAACAGGAATATACCTAACACTTCTTTCTGAAAAGCTTCCCCCCAACTAGTCATGTTTGCTCATTGCTGTTAATTTATCATTGGATTCAGTGAGAGATTTTCTTCCTTAAAACTGTTTCAGTCCCATATGTTGAGTGTGTGCCCAAACTAGAATGTGCACATGTAAAACACACAGAAACACATATAGCTATATTTTGCTGTATGACATCTATAATTTACAGTGGAAATAAAAAATGTGATCCCTATGAACACATAGGGCAATGTATCTATTTGCCTTTAAAACTTTGATGTATAAAATAAAAAATAATTTAAAAAAAAAAAGGTTGAGCAGTGCTGTCAAAATATACCTGATATGTAAATTAAGTATTAATTAAAATATGGGTAGAAATGTCATTTTATTATCAATGTGAAATATTAAAAATAGCATTTTTTTTCCTAAAATACTCTAATTAAGACTTATTGAGAAAATAATACCAAATGCTGGCTTGAAGCACAGAAAAGAAAACTACAAGGGAAAAGAGAGTAAATCCTTCTCACCCGCATACCAACCCATCAGTCAGGGTTGGGCTTCTGCCCCCTCACCAGATCAATCTCCTCAACAGGCCTTCCAAGAAGGGAGGCAGTCTGTCCTGTAAGTTGAATTATAGCCCTTAAGGTACTGTTCAAACACAAGCATGAGAGTATATGGCTAGAAAACAAATATAAGACATGTTAATAGACTAGGAACTTTCTTACTGGTTAAAAAAAAAACGAAGAAGAAATATCATCTCCAAGTGTATCTTGGTTGTAAGACTGAACAAAAGTTCACTAAACACTCAAATTGCAAATCTCTGCTAAAATAGACTAAATTCCAGTAAATGTCTGAAAGGTAGTAGTAGAAAGATGATTTTACTTCTATGGACATCACTGTTTGATGTTTGGAACTGTTGTCTTGTTCGTACTGCCAAAAAAAAAAAAGCTATGGGAAGTTGGAATGGTTGCATAAAAAGCACCAAAAAATAAGAGAAGAGAAAGTGGAGAAAATTCTTTCTGTGAGTAACTTAAAGAGCTCACCACACTTAGTTTATCAAAAAGAGCACCAAGAGGTGACCTGATTACAGTGTCTGAAGACCTCACAGGGAGAAGATAGCAGGTACTGAAGAGTTTTTCAGACTACAAGGAAAAGCATAACAAAGACAAATATGTAAAACTCTAAAACAGACAAATTCAACTTAGAAACAATGACAGATTTTTCCTAACAGCTAAGTTGATTACTATTGGGAAAAAATTACACAAGAAAGGGGTAATTTTTCCATGTTTTGTTGTCTTCAAATCAAGATGTGTTGCTTTGTGAAGGGTCTGCTTCAGTCAAATACAAGATACTAGACTCAACACAGGGATATTTAAATAAAATGCAATGATCTTTGATAAGAGGTGACACTACTAATTGTTCTTCTGAATCATTAATTCTATAGATCTTCAAAAACTTTCCTTAGGGATATATAGGGAAAGTTTCCTTTTTTCTCTAAGAAAAACAGAAAGCTAGGGAAAATATCTAAGAATATTTTATTAGACTTGAAAAATTAAATATCTGAAAGTTTTTATATCTGTCATTTCCCATTCCTGGCAACCTTAATTCTTTTTCGTGTGTGATACAACCATGTATAAAATATTTTCCCAGTGCTCCTCTTCCTTCTTCCTAGCCTTCCAGTGGAATAGGAAAGAACTGCTGTAACACAGGACTAGTTTTTTACATATCTTCAAAATTCATATTTTTGAAGCTGCAACATAAACCATGTTGTCTTTATCTGCCCTGCTTATGTTTTACATGTAAATTGAGCAAGTTTGATTTTTTTGGACTACGCAACACGTGCACAAAAAAAGAAAATTAATTTTATCCACTACTATTGATCAACAGGAAGGGTGTCTTGATCATTCACAGGCACAGAGAAACACAGTCATCCCAGCATCAGCATTTAGACAACTTCCAATGTAACCAAATCAAAGCTGTATATGGGAATGAACATTTAACGAGGAAAAGAAAAACCCACAGTATGCTATTTCTCCCATACAGCTTTGTGACAGATTTGACTCATTTCAGGGGTGCATATGCACATAAAAATCCTTGTTTTGATAACCTTACCTGGTGTGCATCTAATCCTTCCCCACAGCTCACCAGCCTGGCAGTTTCATGACTAGATGGCCTTGCCCTAATCCACCCCAGTTTACGTCTCCCATATGCCTCCTTGCCCTGCTCATTCTGCACCAGAATAGGCACCTGATCGCTTCTCTGACAGACTTTGAACAAGAAGGCAGAAGACCAATAAATTCTGCTCCAACAAATATTACATTTAGGCAATCTGTTCTCCCAGCACTGCAGAAGCATCATGCATAACTAACTCAGGGATGAAGGCTGCACTGGTTAACCCCAGTAATTTTAAGTACAAGCACGTTTTACTGATGCAACCTCAAAACCCATTGAGCTCACACTGGTAATATAAAGAGCTTGATTACTTTCACCTGAAAACATTGGCCTCTGTATAAATGAGATATTGGCCTTTAAAGTCGTAAACTAGTATAGATTAAATCATAAATTCATTTAGAAGTTCATAAAATTCAGAAATGCCTTTGAGAATCTGGACTCAATCATCTAAATGCCCTTCAGTGTTTTTAATTAAACACCTAAAAATCATTAAATGCCTACATGCCTCTGAAGATATATGCTTGCAAGTTTAATCAAAACTCCAGTTAAAGTAAAGGAGTGACTGCTGTTGCTGTCAGACACTTTGAAGAGGACCCTGATAGAGTCCACAAGGCGAAGGATTTAAATGCTTTTCTACAACTCATTTCATTGCACCAAAATATAGGAGGAAATATTTCAGGTGATTTCAGATTTTCCCACCACACCCTCCATTCACCCAAATCTGCACTTGAACAAGGTCAAAACTGTTATGTAAGGAAATCTTGTCCAGCGTTGCCAAATTAAAATTCTATCAATACCTGCTTTCATTTAAGTTAAAAATACTGCTATCTGCTTTAATTAGTTTAGCAGGACAGATAGGGGAAACCTGGACATAACTACAGCATAGATGGCAATTAATGATATTTTCTTGGTGTCTTTGAGAGGTAAGTTTCAAAGACTATTATAATATTTGTATTGGTGCATACACTGTTCATTTGAAATCCTATGTCTAGAAAGTGGTTTGTGAAATACTGATTTCATAACAGAATGATAACTTTTTTAGTATTACATAGGAAGGGAAAGTCCCTCTTTTAAGTCAGTGGGGACTGACTTAAGTCAGTGACTAGAATCTAATTTCAAGAGGCAGCAAAACCTCTGATCACTTAAGCTGGTGGATCTCAAGGCTGTTTGTTAAGCTATAAACAGGCATCATGCCTCTGTAGACTTTAAACAACTGGAAGATATATCAAAAGAAAAATAGTCGAGATGAAACATAACACTTTCATTTGGATGGGGGTTTTTTTAATGGATATACGATGAAAGCTTTTAAGAAGCAAGTTTAAAATTATGATTACTCACATGTCAAAAGTAAAATTCTCAAAAATAAAATTCTCAGAACTGCTACAATTTAGGCTAAGTTCACTTTCCAAAAATGGAAAGTTCTTTGAGACTGCCTTTAGACTGACCCCATTTCTCAGTTGCCTCATCATTACTGTTCTTTTCCTTCCGGAGTAGAATTTAATTTGCTCATTTTTTTTAAGACAGTAAATAAGAAGAATTCACACCTCTAGGGTAAGCTGTCGATGACACTGTGGTAACAGAAGAGAGAAGCATGCCACTGAGGAGCTGGTATGCTTTCAGAAGAAAATCTGCTAGTAAGGCCCCTTAAAGTTATTATCTCAAGCAGAGGACGGAAGTGGGACCCTAAAGTACACTGTAACATTAGAAAAGTTAATAAAAGCTGAGAAGGAGGCCCCGGACAACCTTTTTTACTGTAACTGTAATAGGATGAAATGTTCCCTGCAGTATGAAAAGAGGGATGGGGAAGGGAGCAAAACTAAGAAATATACTACAACATTCTCCAGTAAAAGAGTGAAAATACAAAAGCATAAAATACAATGAGGTATAGCAAACATGTATTTTTGGCAGATACTTGGGTCAGTGAATGAAAACGAAAGCTAAAGCACAT